TAACTCAAGGATGAAAGGTGATGGAGAAAAGTTTTTTAGGAATAAGTTGTTTATTGTCAACTAAGAAGACATCATCCATAAACAAATTTAGTTTAGATGTAATGATTTTCAGGTGATAAAGAGAAAATCCCAAAAATGTCAAAATTGGGTACTTTTGGTGTTAAAATCGATAATAACTCAAGAATGAAAGGCGATGGAGAAAAGATGAAGAAAACCTTGTCGTCAAATAACTTTATAACTTTGTCGTCAAGTTTGACGTACAATTTCATAGCCAACTACTAAATTTTCTCTTATTTTAAGTAACATTACGAAATACGTGTCTTTAGCTATTTACATTTTTTATGAAAACGACAAAGTTTTTTAAAAAATAATACGGGTAAGAAAAGTTTTAGAATTAAATTCCACATGAAATGAATTAGTAATGTATTAAATCCGCCAAAAGTTTAAAAAAATTTGTCCAAATTTAGGGTACCATCACCCTTAATCAACCCTATGAAATGCCTTAATTGAGTTCAATTTGTTACCAATTAATACCTGTGGTACACTCATAACGTATACCAAATTTGGTTTTTCTAGCTTAATGTATTACCAAGATATTGAACTTTTTAAAAATTTAAGAGCCAACTCTGAAGGCCTACAACTCCTGAGGTGTACAACTTAGTATAGAGGTAAGTTACGTTAAATCATCTTAATTTATTGTCCTCTACATGTTCCTGCTCTGTGTCGGTTCTTATGTGAATCACCCTGTATATAACTGAACCAACCTTGACATTACAACCGTCAGTATTATAAAATCTCTTCTACTCTGAACCTACTTTGCTCGCCGATATAATTACACGATACTTTTTTACTATCTAGATAGTAAAAAAGTGAGCTAGTAGCTAGGAAAGTTGACCGGTCTCTAACTTTACTCGCATACATATTTGCTAGCTAACTATCTGGATAGTTTACACGCCACCATAATTACACAGAACTACTTTACTAGCAGCTAGTAAAAAAGTGCACTAGTGGCGTGTAAACTATCTCCGTGTAATCGACCCTTTACGGACATTTAAAATCTTTTGCAATACACTTTTTACGCTTCAACCAATAAAACTTATTGCCATTTAATATATCATTACATAGAAAGTCATAAAATCAACACATCTCTTATCATTTATGTCAAAGTCAAAAATTAATTTGAAAATGAATAGTTTTGCTAGAAAATGTTAAGATTAATATATATACTAAAATTTGTTTGTGTAATTTACGCAATCAGAAACGGACCTATGTTCGATAACTCCATAAGAAGATTTTTTGATACCCCATTTCGAGGTGATCCTGATTGTCCATGGACGAGTATCGTAACAATAAGCGCCAGTAACGATTTTGCGACCCAAATGTGGGAATATTGCACGGTTTATGCTGTCGGTCGATACACCGGTTTAGATCCTTTTGTTCCTCCGTTAATCCATAAGAAATTATCGTTGATTTTCCAAGGATTATCCGTAAAATCATTCGCAAGAATCGCGCGTAAATGTAAATTTAATCGAAAGAAATTCGTTTTTGATTATGCGAGTTGGACCAACATGGATAAGAGTTTGTTGATATCAAAGGGAAATATTGAATTAAATTTGGTGTTAAAATATTTAAAATTTTTATTTGATCAATTTAAATTGACGGAAATTTTTAAAAAACCTTCCAGCTCCATTATCAAAAAAGCTTTAAAACATTACGAATCAAATAAATTAATTGGAATTTATATAAATAAAATCGATTTTGAATACGAAAACCCTTTGTTGGCTAAAACCGTGGATTTTTATGAAAAAGGACTACAATATTTTCGAAACGAATATAGAAACGTAACATTCATCGCTTTATGTGGAATTAACGCAATTTGTTTGGACATATTTAAAGAACAAAACGATGTTTATATTTATAAATATAATAATATCGAGCGTTTAACTATTGCGATATTATCGCTTTGTAATCATGTTATTTTCAAAACCGGCGGAATTGGTTTATGGGGAGGATTATTATCGGGGGGCGAAATAATTTATTCTTTTTGCGAAACCCTTCAAATAAATAAACCTGGAAATTACACAATCATCCAAAGATTAATTGGATCTAAAAAGAATTGCGATGAATATGATTATTTAATTGAAAATGTTCCATAAAAAGTTTTTTTATTTAAAAATAAACGCATCAACTAATTCGTTTGTGTTTCGAATACAATGAACGTGGTTGCATTCACCGGAAGTGATGGGGGACGAATCCCCCGCAATACAGATCACAATTTATATAGACCAACAACAAAATTGTTCGAACGTTCTCTCGATTTGCCGCTTGTGTTCAAGTACCCGTTACAAACACCCTTAATAATCACGTTTTAGCCGACAAATAGGGGGGCCCCCGGACCGCCCGTTCCAGTAACATCATTGGACTTTGTATTCCGGCCGCCCACGCACGACTCCGCCCACGGGAAAAGCCCTCTCGAAGCTTTGCATGCCGAAAGCTCCCAGAAACAATCCAACAATTTCATCGGTTACATGTTATAAAGTTTTTCGAAATTTCAAAAATGATGGAAAATGCTAATTTAAAAACACGTTCAAACCAACCGTGTTCACCCAAAGACTTTTTCGCGCGGCTTTACGGGCATTTAGAGAGTGATCGTGATGAGAAAGACGACGGGGAAAGAGTTGTTGGTAATCAAAATGTTGTCGCTCCAATTCCCGTCTTTCCAACTCCTCCAATTCCGTTATTTTTACCGCACGCCACTGATGTACAATTAACTGCCGCAGCCGCCGCTGGATTATCAGCTTTTTGTAAGTAAATTTTGTTTAAAACCATCAATTTCACGTTTGACGTTTCAATAATAAAAATTAACCTAAAAAGAAAAAAGATAATGACATTTGAATAAAAAATTAATACCAACCTAATTTCTTAAATGTCATATTTTCGTTTTTTGTAAGATAATTAGACCGCGTTATAGGTTTATCTTAGAAAAAATGCTACAATAAAAAAAATAGATGAACCTACAATTTCGGGGCCAATGTCCTTATGTCTTAAAACCAAAAAGTTCGAACTTTTAATTTTGACATATTTGACAACTTCATAAAAAATCCTTTAAAATGAGTCCAAACTCGACATATTTAACTTTAATATTAATGGAAATACAATCACTTCCGGTTTGAAACGTCAATTTTGACATATTTGTCAACTTCTTAGCAATTTAATTTTTAAATATTAATACCAACCTTATTTTTTTATGTTTTTTTATTATATTTTTGTTTTTGTGACAAATACTAAAACATTTTATAAAAATTAAAAATATGTCAAAATGATTTTGACATTTTAAACCGGAAATTTTTATATCTCGAGTAATATTGGAATTAAACGTATCATGTTTGGACTCATTTTAAAGGATTTTTCACGGCGATTACAAATATATCAAAATTGGCGTTGACATTCTTAACCGGAAGTTGACATAACTTCATTAATATTGAAAGAAAAATGAGAAAAATAGTCGAACCTGAGATTGTTCAAAGTTTTTATAATTTAAGTTAATTAGTCGTCCGTTCCGTATTTTATTAGTCATTGTTATTCACTTGTTTCTCGAGTTGTTGTTGACATCAAAGAGTGTAATAAATCGTTCCGTTCAATTTTCGTGAAAAGTAGTTTCAGTTGTGTTAATAGATACACATGTTCGTTAAAAGCATTTCGGCTTTTATTTTCTATTCGAAGAGATACTTCTACATTTTCTACAAGAACAGTAAGACTTTTCCTTTTTTTGACAGTTTTTCTAACACCCGGGTTTTTAAGTGACTTTATACAAGCGTCTCAGATTTTTCCCGCGCCGGTCTCGACTATTTCTTAACAGAGATGAACCTACAATTTCGGGCCAGTGTCGTTATTTAGATGTTAGTATAAAATTAAATGTTTAAGACTTTTATTTTATATAGAATTTAAGTCTAACTAGTTTTGGTCCTTAGCCATCTTCAGAAACTCTACAACTAGATTAACATCTCTCATCTTATCCATTTTACAAACGATAGTGGTAGGTAGCGCTAGTTAGCATAAAATATCACTATGTAGCATATTTTTGTTGCACTAAAACTAGAACTAACACTAGACCTAGAACTAGAATCATTCGGGTTTAGCCGTCTTTAGAGACGTGCGGCTAAACCCGAATGTTTCTAGTTCTAGATCTAGTGTTAGTTCTAGTTTTATACTATCACTATCACTAGAACTAACACTAGTTCTA